AATCCCCAGAAACACACACACACAAACAACAAAAAATAAAATATATGTCAAGAACATTTCCCAGGTTCTGAATTGATCATTAACCAGAGCAGGGAACCCAGAGAGAGCAGAAATTTGTTTTGTTTTATATGAGAGAATGGCAATGGGAGGTAAAAGGCTGAAGACAAAAATAATGAGCTTCATTTAGATAAGTTAAAACTTGGAATCCAGATAAAAAGAGGAGATTGGTGTCTGAGTCTATAAACATTACTTATAAATGCAAATACTTAGGGCTAAATTAAAGGCTGTAGATAAAGTCAGTATGTCTGGAGTTCAGATTGTAATTGTTGTTTTAAGCTGTATATGAAAAGGTCTGTGCTTTTTCCAGTTTGTGCTAAAGATCAGAAAGTAATGAACATTTGTCCATTAAAACAATAAACTCCTAAAAGAGAAGATATTCCTGATAGATAAAACTGATAAGAATTCTCCAGAATGAGAATACTGCTGGGCAAACTATAGCAAGATCAAATTGAAAAGACTAGGAAATCTACCATACCATTTGGCTGGGTATTTCAAGACATTTCACAAAGAATTTATATTCAATTTCCTACTAAGAAGATCATACTGGACTCAACAGCTATTTACTGAAAGAAAGCATAAGCCTAGAGAGAAAGCAGACAATATAATGAAAGATGCTGCCTAGTAGTAAGTATTCAGTAGATAGGATCTTCATTACCCGTGTACAGGATTATCCAAACCCACTGAGTTGCAAAAGTCCAAAAAGAAATATTCACTGATAAACCAATCAACTTGTTATAAAATTAATAATGGCCCAAACCATTGTTCAACATCAGCTACTACTTATGCTCACTGCTGTAACCCTTTTGGTCAGCCTTTTAGTGAATGTTGATGTTACAAATATGAGCCAATGCAATGCAAATATGAACAAATTGGAATCACAAGTCTTACAAAAGATAGAAGTCTATCTGAGGTTTTGTTTTATATGGAAGAAAACTATAAATATAGAAAACCAGCCTTCATTCCTAACATTCTTAATCAGAGAATCATTTAAATAACATATAAAGCAAGCCTAAGATTTGAAAATCTGACAAAGCCAGGACTTTTACAATGAAGACATCAGTGATGCACAAAGCTTTTAAATGAAATGTGAATATCAGAGATTTAAGACAAACTCTTGGAAAAACTGATAATGACTTCAATAATTGCATTGGGGAAAAAAGGCTCCCTTTATAATTAAGTTGTAAATGACAAACAAAGAAATTTTCTATCAAATTGTCATATTTTATCAGAAAAGCAATACCAAAATAATGCTCATGTGACTTATTCTTTTTTCTAAATATAAACTTATAGTTGTAACATAATCTAAATATTGTTAAATTTTAAAAGATTTTTAAAGCTATCTTCATAATTTTGTTTCATTTTTACAGATAATCCAGTCAAAAATTTTCTTTCTTATTTTCAATAAAAGTTTGGTACTATTTTAAATAAATGCACATTATATGATCACTTTCACCTTTGGCTAACCCAATCTTACGGCATTTGTTCTAAAGAGTAACTGCCCAACAAGCGTATTAGTTTACAAGGAGGTTTATGGCAAGGGCATTTCTCAAAACATCTGGCCAACAAAGGCAAGATGCAATTTACAGTAGGACAAACCTACTAAGTAAGGAGTACTTAAATGCAAAAGCCTAATTGATTTCACAGGGTGCATATAATTCTCTTGTTGGATATTTCCCCAAGCTAGTCCTTGGGTAGGGGAGCCTGAGTATTTGTAATGCAAAGAATCTACATGGTTCCTTGGAGAAATTACTAAGCTAAGCCAACAAATTGAAACTTTTGGAACTTAGCCTGCCTGGTTATATGAGATATTAACTTGCTTTTGTTGTATAATCATTTTATTCAGTTTTTTGTTTTATGGGGGTTTTTTGCTGTTTTTGCAGCTAAAAGCATCCTCATTTATATACATATCATGAAGTTTATGTATGAATATTTGTAATACTTTTGGAGGTACAAAAGCATTAAAGAAAATCACAACTTAGTTGCAGAGGCAAAACATATTTGAAAAAATAAAAACTACTTTGGCTGTTTATAAAATGTTCACACATCTTGTTAGAGATATTGAAGTTCAAGTAGTTAGTTGGTCATGAAAATAAGGCATTTGAGTAAGATTGATATTAAAGTTAAGAATACCTTCTGGGAACATCTTGTGTTGGAGCATTTAAGAATTAAGAGAAATCTTTGTGGAGCACAGTTGTGCACACCTGTAATCCCAGTGACTTGGAAGGCTGAGGTAGGAGAAATGCAAGTTCAAAGTCAGTCTTGGAAGCTTAGTGAGACCCTGTCTCAAAATAAAAAAATAAAAAGGGCTGGGGATATAGCTCAGTGATAGTGCCCCTGGATTCAATCCCTAGTACTACTGAGGGGGGAAATTCAAAAAAGATTTTAGAAATTTCCTGAAAAAGGAAAGAAAATAGTTAAATATAAACAAAAGGATTCTAACCAAAGGAAAATCAATAAACAAAACAGAATTTTTTTAAAAAAAATGTGTAAAAGAGGCCAAAACAATGATGCCACTAACAAAATGGTTACAAAGAAATAGAAACTGGTATAGGCACTATAGTAAATTTCTTAAAACAACTAAGTATGTCAAGGATGACAAAAAAAAGAAATAGAGACAAAGGTGTGGCACCCAGATTCTATGTCTGGAAAAGGATCTAGGGAAGAATTCAAGTAATTACAAAGCATCAAAAAACAAACAAATAACAACAACAACAAAGTAGAACAGCACAGGGCACCAGAGTGAGAAAATGAAAAGAGAAAAAATGAAAGACATCTTTCTTTCTATGACCACTTGAAATCCTACTTCTGGTCATGGGAACATCTTGTTCTAGAAGTGAAGGTTTCAAGTAAAGAACCCTAGAGGACACATACCTTAACAATCCTTTACATGTACAAATTGCTCTGAGTTTGAAGAACATTTGCTCTTACATTAAACTCATTTTATTCCCATCATAATCCTTCAGCCAGGAAAGAAATGTAATGAATCCCATCTTACAGTGAAACAAGTTCAAATTTAGGACTCAGTATTATATAGCATGATAAAATGAAATGTTTAATAAACATTTTTTCCTCAATATCATTTACTTACCCTTAAAAGTTCTTTTGAAAGAAAATCTAATAATCCTGTCATAAATTAATATATGCACATCTTCCAACTACTACAAAGATGGCTCTAACAAAAACTCTATCATTCCTGTTGGTGGCTAAAAATTATAGGCTTCTAGAGACAACAAATGAAAATAATGATTGCAGCAGATTTTTAGCTCAACTAAAGGGTAAGATTTCCCTTCTTTATAACTTTTAATGAAAAACTGCTAAATGGGGAGTTTCTCTAGAAGTGAAAAGTAGAAAGCACATTCCTAGCTTTCTCTGCCCCTTCACTCACAACTCTCCAGAAAAGAAGTAACCTCTTGGCTGACCAGTTAGTCTGCAGACAGACTCAACCGGCTCATTCCTTTCCTCTTTTCAGAACCAGCTGGTTTGTAGGATCTAACATAGCTCTTTGACATCCCTGTTATAGGTGTAGCCTCTGTCTCTATGGGGAAGATAGGTGCCAGTGACAAGGTCAGTATGTTTCTCTAATTCAGAGGTGAAGTATTACAAGTCCAATTGGCCATAAACCTACAGTTATGTCCTATTATCACTTTCTTAGTAGCAAAATTAATGCTCTAATTTCCATTCATCTTTGGTCTCATTTTCAACTGATTACACAGCTGGGAAGAAAAAACAAAGATTTTTTTTTTAATCAATCTCCTAAAGCTACAAGCAAAGACAAGAGGCAAAAATAAAAATAAATCACAGAGAAGACCTCTTTCTTTTTTCTCCCCATCTTCATTATTTTTGAAAGTCTAAATTAAGAAACCACAAGTGTAGTTGATAAGATGGTTTTGTCATATCAAACAAACAGCCTTAATTCTTTAACCACAGTATCAGCATGATCACAGGAGCTCCGCAAAGATTGTGAAAGCACTGAAGACCTAGTGATGGGCACTAAACTATGGTTTAAAAAAAAAAGAAAAGAAAACTAAAACAAAAACTCAACCAGGTACAAGATCAGATTTTGAAGCAATGTCTAGTTAGGTTAGATACTCCCATATTTTAAAGATTATTCTAGATTTAAAATTCTAATTTTTTTTCTCTCTAAAATTCTTGCAATTGCGTATATCATTTTAAGTCATGGTTTTGATATCTTCTTTAGCAGTTCAACAAAGTTCAGCTACAGAAACTGTGAATAAACATAAGCCTCTTATTCATCAGGAAAAAATGTGTATAAGACCCTGTTACTGCTCAGAGTTTGGGAAAGGATTTAATCACGTAACATATGTAAAAAAGTTTATCAAAATTCCAGACACATTTTAGTTTTGTCTTTTTTCTAAGGCCTGCAGGTATGGTCTTTTGCCACTAGATGGCAATGCAGCATCAGTAGGTCCAAAGTTGGCCAACCTACCAAGGGAAATCTGGATTTCATTTAACTGCTAAAGTGAAATATGTAAAAATTAAATTTTTCTTAGTATTTGATAAGAAGGATGGTAAAACATTGGATATTTGAAGGGAGAGAATATGATAATTTCATTTTCTCTAAGATTTTTTGTTTGTTTGTTTTACTTTTGTGCAGTACTAGGGATTAAAACCACAGACACTTTACTACTGAGTTACATCTCCAGTCATTTTAAATTCTTATTTTGAGACAGGATCTCACTAAATTGCTGAGTCTGGCCTCAAACTTTCAATCCTCCCACCTCAGCTTCCTGAGTCAGTGGGATTACAGATGCATACCATTATACCTAGTCCTATGAGAAATAAAGTGCTAATGATGCCCTTACTTATCATTTAAAAATCTTAATTCATTTTAATTAAGAATGTGAATAATCTTATAAAAAAAGACATTGTTCCAAAGTAAGACACATGCTGAAAGCTAATAAAAATGTTTGAACATTTACCTCTGACCCCAAACTGAGAGAAACAATCTCATCCTCAAAAGCAGAATGTGTGTCAATATGAGGAGGAATTCCTGAGATAAAAAAATATAAAAAATATAACATGTCATTTCATTTTTCCTTGTAGGAAATTTAAGATGATTCTAAATGCAGCCTCATGCAATTATGGTGAAAACATTGGTTATCAAAAAGGTACTATAATTTTAGTTAAAGGGAAACAAGGTAATGTAACTAAACAAAATTAAACTTAAAGCTAAACTAAAAATAACTTCATGATAAAGTACCATTAGAATTCTACAATCAAATGATGTAAAATATTTATTAGCATATAGTAGCCTAACATTTACTTTTGTTTCCTTACTAGAAACAGTAATTACTACATGAAAAAATAAGCAAAAATTGTGTTGTTTCATCAAAAACAAAACAAAACACAACCCTCACATGAGCAAATAAACTACTAAGCAGACATTTCTCAAAAGAAGAAATACAAATGATCAACAAATAAATGAAAATAATGTTCAACATTACTTTGCAATTAGGAAAATTCAAACCAAAACCACACTGGGATTTCATTTCAATCCAGTTAGAATGGCAGTCATCAAGAATGTGAACAAAAGTAAATGCTGGAGAGGATGTGGAGAAAATGGGATACTTTTACATTGTTGGTAGGGTTGTGAATTAGTACAACCACTATGGAAATCAGTATGAGAGACTCCTCCAAAGACTAGGAAAAGAACCACCACATGGCAACTATATCATATTTCAGTATTTACTCCAAAGAATTAAAGTCATTATTCTGTATGGATACAGGCATACCCACATTTAAAATGGTACAATTCATAATAGACAAACTGTGGAATAAACCTAGGTGTTCATCAATGGATGAATGAATAAATGTGGTATACATACATAATGAAATTTTATTCATCATGAAGAAGAATTAAATTACGTCATTCATAGGAAAATGAATAGAACTTGAGAACATCATTTTAAGCAAAATAAGCCAAACTAAGAAAGTCAAGGATTGTGTATATTTTCTCTCCTATATGGAAGCTAGAGGGGAAAAAGGGAAACAAATGTGGATGGAATCTCATGAAAATCAAAGGGAGATCATCGGGGACCAGAAGGAGGGAGGAGAGAAGGGAAATGAGAAATACTGAGGAATGATATTGGCCAAATTATATTGTTATATCATGTGCATGTGCAAGTACATAAAAACAAATCTCGCTGTCATGTACAACTATAATGTGTCAATAAAAAATATGGAAAAAAAAAAAAAAAGAATTCTACAATCAAGGCTTGGGAGTCAGTGCTTAACTAGGACACTTATCCAAGCCCAGCCCAAGAGGAAGATGTGAAAGATGAATAAGTGTCATTGCTTCCCTTGAATTCTGAATTCCCATGTACTTGGAGAATAAAGGCAATAGCCATGTGTGAAGACTGAGCATATCTAATAATTAAGATAAGGCTTCCTCTACTGATCTATCAATCTGTTAATTGAGTACCTCTTAGTAAAGAAACTAAGAGAATAGTGAAAAGATATAAAACAAGACCTAGTCCCTGTCTGCAAGAAGTTTACAAACCAGTAGAAAGACAGGTTAATAAGCAATAAAAAATACATCAACTATTGCCATTTATAAAACCCTCAAAATTATTTGATTATTTCAAATATCAGATAAAGATGTTGCTAACAAAGGCAAAAAATCTACGACCTAAAGATTTTCCACTAACATGACATCCTAGAATTGTCTTCTATATTCTCAAATAGAGAAAGTGGCATTCAACCAATTAACTTTCTTCCCTTCTTTAAATTATTCAGTTCTTTCATTATAGAATATTTCTGTTTTAAGCAGTCACCTCCTTCTCTAAATAAAATGTTGAGAGGCAAAACAAAAAAAAATCATTAACATCAATTTATATCAGTCTTTTAAGACTTTTTGACTAATGTTCCTCAAGGGGTTGAGGCGTAGATTTGCAAGAAATTAAGATAAACATAAATATTTAATATAAGCAAAGTTAAGAGTTTGAGCTAACTATCAAATACCTTTGATCTTAAAATGTTATATAATCTTCTTAATTCTGAAATATATAACTGGTATTTTAAAAGAATAAATACTTACCATGCCCAGGTTCATACTGATTTACAGTCAACTGATCAGGTTTATGCTTAATGTAACCTTTCTTCAACCATTTCTCCAAAATGCTATCACAAATGTCAGGAAGACCTGAAATCAGCAATCATAAAGGCAAAACGTATTAAAATAATTACTTTGCATGTTTCACCCAAGAATAAAAAAGTCGCTCTGATATAAATCAAACAGATTTAATGTAGCAGTCAGATCTATTAATAAAACAATGAACTTACAAACAAAACCTCTTAAGAATCTATGTATGTCATTAATTTTATCAAATAAAAAGTCTAAAAGAATAATTTCACTAACAACAATTTGGGTATTTTATAAAATAATAACAAAATAATAAAACTTAGTATGTATTGATTATTCCTTATCTAAAATGTTTGGTACTAGAAATGTTTCAGATTCTGGAATTTTTTCAGATTTTGGAATATTTGCATATAATACACAACAGATATTTCAGAGATGGACCTAAATTTAAACAAAATTCACTCAAGTATCATATATGCATCTTATTTACATAGTCTGAAGGTAATTTCATATAATATTTTTAGTTTGCCTAAGTAGTTTTTCTGTTTGTTTGGAGTTTTGGGTTTTTGTTTTGTTTTGTTTTTTTGGTACTGGGAATTGAAGCCAGAGATGCTTAACCACTGAGCCATAACCCCAGCCTTTACACACACATACACATACACACACACACACACACACACACACATATTTTTTCTTTTTTAGAGACAGGGTCTTGCTGAGTTCCTTAGGGCTTCGCTAAGTTGCTGAGGCTGGTTTTGAACCCGTGATCCTCCTGCCTCAGCCTCCTGAACCTCTGGGATTACAGGCATGCACCACGTGCCCAGCGCCTACGTTTTGACTAACCTGTCACGTGAACTCATATGGGTAATGCATATGGCATCACATCAGTATTCAAAACTTTTCAGATTTTGGAGAATTTTGGATTTTCTAATTAGGAATAATCAACCTGTACATTATATATTAGAAATTAACCTGTTCGTTTTCTTTTTTGTTATGTTAAGTATTATATTTATTTTATATATTTTTAAATTATTGTCTTTAAAATACCACATTTTTCAAAGTGATAGGAATCATAGGAGTCATAAGTGTTAGTTCATGGGAGTCATAAATGTTATTTCACAATGAATGAAAAGCCTTAAATAATATCAAGGACATAAAAGCAACCCATATTAAAAAACTGGTAAGGAATATGAAAAATATTCATAAAAAAGGATATACTAATGCTTAACCTCATTACTAATTAGGAAATTAAAAATTTTAAAGTTTTATAACATCACATGTAAGAAAGTGTGAAAGGAAAATGGTGCACACTTGGGGAGAATATGTTGGCACAGCTGTTTTGAGGAACAATTTATATCTTGTAACAATGTCAAATGAGCATTAATGTTTACTCAATAATTCTATTTCTTGGCAGTCTCTCTTGAGAACACATTTACATTGTACTTAAGGAAGCACACACAAAGATATTCACTATAGCACTATATGCTAAATGCTTATCAATAGAAAACTAACTGAATAAGCTATTATGGAACTTTCAGTAAAATGAAAAACTACATAAGATATTTAAGATATATCACGAAGGAAAATGAACATGTTGGAGGGATGCATGTAAAATATGAATATACAATTTATACAATATAATACTACATATATTAAACTACATATTTTAGTAGGTATATATTTGGATGTACACTTATCTTTTAAAGGATTAGAAGAATACATGCTAAACTTGTAATATCACAAACTTCTTAAAAGAAAGAAGTATGGGAAAAGTAGTTTTAGTTTTATTTGTATGTTCAAATTTTTTTACAACAAAATATTACCATTGTGTCCATGTACAAATATACCACAATAAATCCTGCCTATATACATAATTATAATACACTTATTTTTAAAATATAATAATAAGGCTGGGGTTGTGGCTCAGAGGAAGAGTGCTCGCCTAGCATGCATGAGGCACTGGGTTCAATCCTCAGCACCACATAAAATAAAATAAAGGTATTATGTCCTCCTGTAACTAAAAAATAAATGTTTAAAATATGTGTATATATAATAATAATTATAGAAGGGAAATCAGTAGAGTAGAGCAAATGGATGAGGGAGAAGGGAAGGGAATAGGAAAGTTCTGGGGAATAAGATTGATCAAACTGTTGTATACACATATGAATATGGCATAATGAATCCCACTATAATGTATAATTATAATATACCAATAAGAAATACAGTAAGAAGCTAAAAATATAAAAATAATACCATTTATCTAATTAAAAGGCTTTAATAAATACATCAAAAGTTTACCTACAAATAAAACATACACTTTAAGCTATGACAAACTTCAAATATACAAGTCTTTTTTTCTAAACTCATATTTATTATAAACAATTACTTACCCCCCGGTAATGGCTTATCTTTATCTACATTATTGTTCTCATAGTGGAATTCATAACCAAAATGCTTTACTCTTCTGTGTTTTAAGGATTTCTGAACTGTGTGAAGAAAAGAAAGAAAACTATTTAGGAGAAAAAAAAAATGCAATCCTTCATATATTTCAGTCAACATTATGAGTATGGATTTGTTTAGAATGATAACTTCGGTTGACTGCTAAATTACTGTATTTGATAACATTAACTATTCTTTTCATATCCACTGTTCTTTCAAGTCTAAAACTGTAACAAACACATAAAGAGATTCACCTAATCACTGTGAAAGACATAAACATGCACACTGCCACTCACAAGACTGCTAATGATCTGGAAAGTCAGAGTAACTCTAATTTGCAAATAACACCAGGAGGCTTTGGCTACACTACAGTGGTATGGTACTGCATTGCTGATTCCTCAGAGGAAATCTGCCTTAGGGTAGAAAGGAGCAAATAAGATAATATGTGAAAAGACTTAAAATGTTAGCTGTATAAATGCTAACTAATAAATATTCATCAGTTTGGAGTTTAAAATTGATAGCTATATAAATGTTATCTACTATTAATGTTCCTAAGAATTATTGGTATGACTTGCCTAACACTGGATACAAGCTACTCTCAATGAACTTGAGGAAATATTAAAGTTTTAATAAACCAAAGCAGGGAGGGAAGGAAGAGTACTGACAGAACATTTTGCAGAACTTTTAAACATGATATTCGGAAAGTTTTATTTACAATTTTGATTGTCTGTATCTTCTGTCCAAATAATACTTTCCAAAAGCATTTTCTCATCCTCAAACGAAATAATTTCTTCTACTACCATGAGGCCTGGAGGTAAAGGTTGAAGCCCCATCTCCTTCCATTGTGCTAGGGGAAATCAAATTAAAATAGTTACATATAAAACAGAAAAATTTTATATACAGATAATTCTGCCCAATAGTCATTTATCAACTCAGAAAATTCGCATTTTTATAAATAAGAATGCTAAAAGGCACACAACATATTGAAATTATAGGTAGGCTTGGTAGCGCATGCCTGTAATCCCAATGGATCAGGCTGAGACAGGAGGATCACAAGTTCAAAGCCAGCCTCAGCAAAAGTGAGGCACTAAGCAACTCAGTGAAACCCTCTAAATAAAATACGAAATAGGGCTGGAGATGTGGCTCGGTGGTCGAGTTCCTATGAGTTTAATCCCTAGTTCCACAAGCCCCCCATCCCCCCCAAAAAAAAGAAATTACAAAAACAAGGACCAAGATCAAAATTATGGCATATTTTATTCACCCAATTCCCTTCAGCAAATAGAACAGTACTAAGTATACTGCTTGATCATAATTCACTTTTTAATCATCACTAAAAGACAAAGTTTCTCACAATATTCACAGTATATACCTCTACAACAAGGTCAAGATTAGCTTTGAATATTAATTCAAGAATTTAATTGCCCATTTTTACTCTTCAATCTCTTCATACTAGATGTGGTCAAGTAATAGAAAAATGTAAACTAGCAAAGAGCTTTCTAAAGAAATTTAAAAATCACGTAAGAAGAATTATTTAATACATATTAAAATAAATTTAAGTTTCTATGTCCTTCAAAGTTTTAGATAGGTACAGAAGGAAAGTGAAAAAATTTTCTACCAGATTAAGGGAATACATATATTAATATCTACTATTAGGGATCCAATTGTTCGCATTACAGAAATGATTTCTAAAGATTTTCAGCTAGGCAAATCTATCTTAGAATTATTTAATATAAAAATTTACAAAAATAATAAGTACCCACTATATTTTGTTAATAGCACTTTGTAAATATAAATAGTAAATCACTTGATAAGTATAGACCAAGTGCCTACTATATGCCAGAAATTATATTATTTATTCAAATTTTGTTAAGAAAAGCTTTGGGAAGAATTCCTTAAAGACAGATAATTCATAGTACAATTAAGTTATATTTAGTTTCCTAAACATCCTCCTGTTTACAAAAAAAATTAAAAATATCTCTTGTATTCTATTGTGTGACAATAATTTTGCAAAAAAAATTAAAATTAAGTTCTTATATTTGCTCTTCAGGAGATATAAAAAAAGTATCAAAACATTTGTAACCAGGCACATTGTCACATGCCTATAATCTCAATGGCTCAAGAGGCTAAGGCAGGAGGATCAAAAGTTCAAAGCCAGCCTCAGCAACTTAGTGAGGTCCTAAGCAACTTAGCAAGATCCTATCTCTAAATAAAATATAAAAAGGGTTAGGGATATGGCTCAGTGGTTAAGTGCCCCCGGGTTCAATCCCTGATACCAAATAAATAAAAAATAAATAAATAATAAAAAATTCTTATTTCAATTAAAAATTATTTCCAAGGTTATAAATGTGATTGCTACAGTCTTAGAAGTATACCTGGATATAATGCTAATGAAGGATTTCATATAAAGAATACTCCAAGCTCACTTTGTACAATTCCTTTCTGAACGTCCTATATACTAAATGGAGTGAGGCAGAGGAGGCAATCTAAGGACAATACTTCCTGATTACTAGCTACTCCTTCACCATTCAGTTTTCAAAAACTGATCAGAAACAAAGTACAAGAATAATCTAGTTTTTAAAATCTGTGAAGCCTAAGTCAGATTTAAAATTAAACACAGGGACACTGAGAAGTATAATTTCTACATATATATTTAAAAAGAGTCTTTAAAAGTTTTCCTTTAAGTCTCATTTTACAAAAACATAAATTTGATCATATTTTACCCAGTTACCTACCCTCAGGATATCTAAACATCTCTTTTATTACTAAATAAATAAAAAATGGATATAAAATTAGATATCTGAATTACAGTTCATCTCAATACATCTCATATCTATGGGTAGAGGTAAAAAGGTGTAACACTCCCTATAGCAATTGTACAAATAAGTCTATAAAGCTATTACTTAAATTATTCAGTTCCTCTATTGCACTATCCACAACTATTGTATGGACAGCACAGAAATGAAAGTATTCACAAACACAGAAAGTCCATTGAATAACACCCTATAAAGTTTTAGGGATTTCTGCTCGATCTTCAAAAAAGATGAAGATTGACATATATCACTTGGATCACAGTTGATTCTTAAGTGATTAATTCAAAGCTTCCGGGTACATACTGTGAAATAAACTGATCTGAATCCTCAATATTAAACTCTGAAAAGTAAAATTAGGTAGCAAAGTTCTAAATTAAGTAACAGGCATAATAAATGCATTGTTTGCTGGCTGTAGTGGCACACATCTGTAATCCCAGCTACTTAGGAGGCTGAGGCAGGAGGATTGCAAGTTCAAGGCCAGCCTGGGTAACTAAATAAGGCTGTGTCTCAAAATAAAACAAAAAGGGCCGGGGATGTAGATCAAGGATAGAGTGTTTGGCTAGCACTTGCTAGGCACTGGGTTTATTTCCCAGTACTATAATGAATAAACAAATTAATTAATTAATCATTAGTTAGTGAGACCTCCTGAAGGGCAGACCATGTATTATTCACCACTATATCCTTTAACTACTAGCCCCAAGTCTGGCACAAATAGGTGCTTAAAGAATATATGTCAGGACTACTTTACCAATGGCCTTTTGTTTCACAGTAACTGAACTCCCATCCAACTTATGCCCATGAAAAGAAAACTCACAAAAGCTTCCCAGATGGTGCATCATAATGCATTCTACTGTCATGTATAACTAATTAAAACAAATAAAAAAGAAAAAATTTGAAATAAAAAATAACTTATAAGATGATAATTATGTCATATGATTATATGTAAATATAATATGTAAGTATATACACAAGTATACATTACTTGGAATGATTATGATTATTATGATTAAAGTAATAATTACAAACAGGATGAAAAGCATTGTCTTTTAGCATGCAATATGTTTTCTCACTGCAGCAACACTAAAATCACAAAATCAATTCCTATTGTACTCTTGCATAGTTAAACATGAATACAGGATAACCTTAAATTTTATTGATGTTAAATATTTTTTTTAAAAAAAGAAAACTTACAAAGGCAAGAACCATTATTTAAAAAATAACTATATAATACCTTTATGATAATACCTTTTTCCACAAAATTCAAGTACAGAATAATCTTTTGTCCTAAATCATCCACTATTTCTTTTCCATTGAGGGTAACATAGGCTTTTCTGGATTCTTCTGTAGTTGTGTATCTTACAAATGAATAGGGCTTGTTAGGTGGCATTAAGAGAGCTTCCACAAGTCCACATTTCTCTAAAACTGGGAGCAGTTGCTTCCTACTCACACTATTACCCAAACCACCATTGGCAACAACCAGGCTCTTTAAAAAAAAAAAAGAAAGAAACATGATCAATTGATATCAACTTGTTTGTTTTAAAATAAAGTTATTTTAAAATAATTTTCAACAAAGATGTAATTAAAAAGAAATTTTTTGTGGTAATTACTTGTTAATTTCATTCAAAGTATGTAAACCAATTTACTAAATATCTGAAGAATAAAAAGAATTCCTAGGTTGTAAATAACATTTGTTTTTATTTTATTTATTTTTTATTTTTTTAAACATTTGTTTTTAAATAGCCAATTTCTGTAAAATATTCATTTCTTAATAACTATAAATGCAAATTAAAAATGACTTTTTATCATGTAAAAACAAATTTAGCATAATTAAAGGGAAGAAAAGAGGAAGAATGGGAAGAAACAAGCAGTTTTATGATACTTGCTTTTTTCCAGAGAATGAACGTTCTATATTCTTGTTATCTATCTAATCCTGATTAACATAATCTTTACAAGAAGTATATTTATTTGAGTAATATGAGCCTTTTAGAGGAAGAAACTGAAAATCAGAACAATTAGATTAAGGTGGTGATTAGGAGGAGCTGGTTCCAAACCTATTTCTACTAGTTTTACAGAATCCACACTTTTAATACAACTATTATAAAATGGTTACTACAAACTAAAAGTAATGGTATTAGCTCAAAGAAAAATCAATTATAGGTTCTATTGAGCATAAAATATGAACATTTCCCTAAGGAAATTAATTAGTCTAAGTAATTTAGTCAATTTGCAGTTAAAATTGTTTCCTTTGTAAGTTTTGTGCTTCTTGTCATCTACAGTCCTACACTAAGCTTTATTCAAGAGGTTTTGGGTTGGAGAGTCCTCCTATCTTCATTCTGATGTTTATAGCCTTGTGTCCTTATATCTCTATACTTAAAAACCATTCTACACAATATTAAGAGCTCGATTTATGACCTATGATTTCTAAAAATGTTACAGTATAACAAAAGTAAACCATGAATGGTCTCCTCTCATTCACTTTATCATTTTATACCAGGTGTTGGTAAAATTCTAAAGAGACTCAGATAATAAATATTTTAAGAGTTTGAAAGCCACATAAGTTTCTGTAATATAGTCCTGGCTTTATTTATTTATTTTTTATTTTTTGGTTGTAGATGGACACAATAACTTTATTTTGTTTATTTTTTTATGTGGTGCTGAGGACTGAACCCAGTGCCTCACACATGCTAGTTGAGTACTCTACTACTGAGCCACAACTCCAGCCCCCTGGTTTTATTTTTTAACAAGCCCATAAAATGTAAAATCCATTCTTAACTCATAAGCCTGATTTGCTCTTAGGACAATTGTTTGATGACCCCCTAATTTATTCCAAGTTTAAGATTAGGTATTAGTTTTGTTATACAAAATGAAAGTTATCTATAACCTTGCTTAAAAAGGATGTGAAAGAATTACCATTAATTGGATAAGAAGAAAAGTGAAACTATTTTGTCATAGAGTATCCAATACTTTATATGCATACAAGTATACACATATACATAGTAAACAAATCCAGTACTACAATACTATATTAAAGGACAGAAAATTTATTTTCAGATGGCAATTTATTTGCCCTGGACCTCAGTCAATGAGCATTGTCTTTTGATTAAAATGCCAAAATAATTTGCTTATATGTAGTCACATATAATCACAAAAACATTTCCATATCCCTAACTCTGAGAGACAGAGTGGGTTAAATTTTGGTTTTTTCCTATTCCCACACATGCAATACAACCCAATAGAAAATATTTCTATGATTTCTAGCCATCAAAAACTGTGAGGATTTCTCCCCAGCAGCAACCAGTATATTTTGCAGCAGATTCTCCAGGAGAAACTAGTTAAAGTGTCCTCTAATTCTGTTTAATTCTGACACTATCAGATCCCACAGGTTGAGAAGTCAGTCCCACAAGATTGCCTTCAAGTTCAGATGCCACAGCAAACAGTATGTTGTCTCCTATATTTCTGACAGTATGGTTGTAAACGGTTCCCAGGACTCCCTCCTCAGGTTCAATTAATTTATTAGAGAAGCCCACAGAGCTCAGGCAAACACTCTACTTACATGCACCCACTTATTATAAAGAGTACTACAAAGGACAGAGATGAACAGACAGATGGAAAATATACACAGGGTAAAGTTGTGGAAAGGGAAGAGAGAATCATTCCCTCTCTGCTACATCACCCTCCAGGAACCACTACCTGTTCCACTATCCAGAAATTCCTCTGAACTCTGTCCTTTTGGGTTTTTATGGAAGCTTCATTATGTAGGCAAATAATGAAAAAGTTTTATAAATAAGGTCTAGTAAATGAAAAAAGATTTACTGTATATTATCAAAAACACAGGTAAGGTTGAGAACAGAAGAAAGATTGTATTAGGATACAGAAGATCTGGCTTACAAGATCAACCACTTACTAGTTTACATCAATGGATATATCATAATCTCTCAAAACTTTATAGTTTTCTCAGCTATTTCATAAGGACTTTTAGGAAATTAAATATGATAATGAATATGTTTGTTTTATCAACTGAAAAGACTTGTATATTGTTATCATTAATATAAACCCACAACTTATTCTAGTGCAAAGAATAGTTACTGATTAGCAAACCTTTTGGGTTATGCTATGGCCCAAAATATAAAGTTAGGCCCTATCATATGTATATTTAATGTGGAGATAACACACAACTACAGTCTTGAGCAATTAACAATATAAATAAAACATATTTACATACCAATATATGTACATTCAAATAATAATAATATTTTAGATCACCTGAGTGGCATAGGATACTGCCTCGATGCCTTCATGTCTCAGCAAAGTATTCCTGGCTTTAATCTGTTTCCTTAAGAATTTCTTCTCAGTTTTACTGAGTTTGATATTACTTTGATGGTTGGTGTCCATAGCAACACTATTAAAAAAAAAAGTAGTAAAAAATGTCAACCTTAAGATTCCCTAAAGGAACAATTATAATAATGTTATTCATGTCCTATAATTTATAAAAATATTTACATGACAATTTTTTAAAAATTCTTTATTTACCTTTCACCAATCCAAAGAAATGAGAACAAACAGACATGGGAAATAAAGGAATATCTAAGAAGGTAGCAAGATAGGAACATCTAATAACATTTCTGAGGGTTCTAAGAAATGTTTCAATGCTTTAGTCCATTAAGCACACAGTTCTACCCATAGGTGATGAATGCCATTACTATAAAGTCCTATATAACACTGGCATAGATAAATTCCACTATCACAATGTAAGACATGGAGGAGGAGGAGGAAGAAGAGGGGCAATAGAGGGAAGAACCATACAAAAAATTCACAGAAGAACATAAAATAAATACAATTCTACTTATAATAAAGTTCAAAATCCAAAAGCAAGCCATTACTGTTTAGATATTAAATATATATAACAAAGTTAAAATAAAAGCAATAAACTGATAAACACAAAATTTAGGAGAGAGGTTATATCTGTGGGAAAGGGAAAGAAAACTGATGAGAGTGTCACATGGAAGCATCATAGGTATTTCTCAAGCCAGAAAACAGGTACAGGTGTTTGTACTACTATTTTAAAAGCTGTACATCTTATATATTTTATAGCTATAATTTTAAATAATAGAAATAAGAACCCCATAAAACTATTCATTTTGTTGAAATACATGAATCATCAAACGCATCAATCATCAAATTTGGGAGTTATTAAGTACACCCAAAGAGGCTTTTATAATCATTCAAAATCAGCACCCTACACCATGCTTTATCACAATAGCCAATTTTATTTTGTTCACAGAATTTAACATAATTGATGATTCACCCGTTAGCTTAACTCCCCCATCATGATGTAAACCCCAAGAGAGCAGGAATGCCAACACACAGTAGGTGCCCAGTGAATACTGTTGAAGGTCTAAATATTAAATGTACGAATACACATATTCCTATTATAGTCTCACCCTGCAGCATACAACTATAATACATACCATGTGCTTTCAAAAAGTTTAAGTTCGACAAGGCAAATACTAAACAATGAAATCATATGACACATCTGTAAGTGCTAATGGTACAGTCCTTAAGTGTGACATGAATTAGATCCAAAAACATAAGATCAGTGTTAACTGAAGTTGGGAAAACTTCAAACCAGAAAGGGTTCCATTCTCAGTACTGGAGGATAAGAACATTATAGAGTCATATGAAGAAGAAAATATTTAGTGAGGTGGTAAAGAACAGAAACTAAAACAGAAAAGAGTATGTCTGGCAAAGACAGTGTGATATAGGCATAATGTTTTTTGAGCAGAGATGTTTGCTGACCCTCTAGTTCCGCTCTGCACACTTCAAAATTTAGGGGGTTAAGTAAAATTATATTTAAAAATGGCTAACAGTAGAAACTCTCATTACTAGTCTTTAAGTATACAATAAAAAAAACACCAAGTTTGTTGAAATGTCAGCTCTCCAGCTTCCTAGTACACAGGGCACGTGTGATAGGAAGGAAAACCAGTAAGACAGGCTGGTTAGACAGCATACTAGGGAGACAAGAGATGAGAAAATATGTAATAACCCAGCTTGGCAAGTAGAAATGTTGGCCTGGTCTACAATGGAGGTACAGAAAGAAAGGAAATGAGGAGAGGGGAAAGAGGAAGGGTAAAAATCTTTTCAGGTAGAATCAGTACACCTTGATTGCCACTCAGATGTGAGGAAGAAAGGAATAAAAGATCGCATACTAATAGGACACAGAATGAGTGATTGAGAGACTAGTGATATCATTTCAAAACTGCAAAGTCAAGAGGAAGGTTGGGAAGGGCCACTTGAGGAGGAAAGTAATGAGTCAGATTTAGGATATGATATGTTTAAGGCATTGGTGAGAAACAGTCTCAATGTCTGCATAGCAGTTGACAATACTAAGTAGCTCCTAAGAAGACCACTAAGGTTAGACAACCTGAGGAGTAATCATTAGAGAGGAAGAGAATAAATGACTGGATATTTGTAACATTGCTCAAATTATTTGTTCTAATATCTGTCCCCTTCCACTAGACTATGAGCTCTTTGAGGAATTAAGTCATATTTTCCCTAGTTACCCTAGACCCTTCTTCAGTGCAGTGTTTAGGAGTCCAACGAGCTGAATGATCCTGACTGAATTAGTTACATATACCTGTGCTTCAGTTTCCGTAAATATGAATAAGGATAATAATAGTAGTGCCTCTCACAACTTTTTTAGGATTAAATTTATCTGTTACTACATTACTGTTAATTTTCTTTCGAGCCATATCAGAATGGTTTAACAAAACAAAGAACAGTTGAGGGCTTTCAAAAGACTATTTTTTTCTTGATGTTTCACATAAGCTAAGAATGGAAGAAATGAAAAAGAAAAGATGCTGAATACATTTTTTTTTTTTTTTAAGTTTGCCACTAAGAGTCCAACACCAGCAGATGGAGCCTCATACCACATTTTGGTCATCCCTTCTATTTTCTCCCTCCCTCAATCATGCTGTATTTTTGCATGTAAAGAAAGACAAATCCAGATAGCCTTTGAAGCTGGTCCCCCACTTCCATTCCTGTGGCTTGGCAATGCAATGGCCCAGCAGACCTGTCAATTCAACAATAACAGGATGTCAGCTGTTGAAGCATAAAGGTACCTCCTTTTCATCAAGGCCACTTCCCTAGCCAGGGAGTTTTCCATTATTGCACAGATTCTCGGTTGCACCTTGGCATATTATAGGAGTAAAGTCACTATTTAGTAGGATTCTAGCCATGCTGGGCCCAGTTGAGCCTCCCCAGCCTGAGGATATTCTCTGTAAGATAAAAGAGCCTAAAGAATATGCATGCTTTGCAACTTGCTTGCTAGGTAGTTTAACCCTCAATATACCCTACTGAATACCACCCCAAGTGGCAATTGTAGTATCTATGTCCATGCCCTTCTTAAACAATACAGAGCTTATTTTGAACAAAGTAGTAGAGGCAAACAAATGTTCCTGTGCTTGTGTAGTCCTGTATTAATAACAATGAGTAGGGCCTGGGGTTGTAGCTCATTGGTAGAGCTCTTTCCCTACATATGTGAGGCACTGGGTTCTATCCTCAGGACCACAAAAAATAAACAAAATAAAGGTATTGTGTCCATTTACAACAACAACAAAATTTTTTAAATAACAATAAGTAGAAAGACCCTAAATTCCTATCAAATGAGGCCTGATTTTAAAGATAGCACAGGTACACAGAGTATACATGTAAATCTTTAGAACACACAAGAAACTGGTGACATGGGTTGTCTCCAGGAATGGAAAATGGTAAGATGAATCCAGAAATGAGAATTTTCCTCTTTCATGACTTGAATTTAGTAGCTATTCAAATGCATTTCCTATTTGAAAATAAAGATTTTAAACAACTAGGAAAAATTCCCCTATCACTTATCATATCGTCCCTTTTTAACCCTTTGAATACTCAAAAGTACCTTAGAAGTACTCAAGTACTTTCTAAATGTCTGTGTGTTCATTATTGTGTTTATTCTTTCTCCTACAACTTAATGGAATGTCTACTCTGTAAGGTAAGGATTTTGTCTGTCACCATGTAGCACTCAACACCTAAACAAGATCTAATACCCAGTAGCTACTCATTAAACTTTTCAAAAAATAACTAAATAGAAATTGCCATCTCTAAACCTCTCCTCCCCCAGAATTCTGATTTTGGTGGCCTTCTTCAACGTTTTCATTAGCACAGTGTATACCTGGAGTCCTCACATTGTATTATAATTACCTGTTTGTGTGTTGGGCTCTCAGAAGGCTGTCATCTACTTAAGGGAACAGACTGGATGCCTGGCATTCGGCTAGCAATAAATGTCCAATGAAATAGATCAAAACCACAGGGTGACACCACCACATGCAAGGGGCACAGGGGTTGCTAAACAAAAGCATAGGAAGACAGCTCCGTGGGAAATCAGGCCATCAACAAGCTCTCTGCTTCACTGAGTGGACACTGGTCAGAAAAGCCCTAGAAGAGCCATACTAACATGCCCTAGGTGACAAGTGCCTGCCCGGCCCCCAAAACAGAGTGACACAGGCACCACGTGAGCAATCGTACCAAACACAAACACGTGCACCTTCAACCTTAAGTGGATACCCAACGCACAGACACAGTACAGCCCACAAACTACAAGCAGAGAGCCGCCTAGATCTTCCTTCTTTCGAGCTTTCAGCCCCAGGCCAGCGACCTAACAAAGAACGAAAAAGTCCGACAAGAGAAAATGAAGACATGCAGCCCTTCGTGCCCGCCAGCAAGAAGTGCCCCACACCTCCGCCTCTGCTCAGGCCGGGTTCTCGCTACTCTGCTGCTCTCTCCCTCGCCAGCTTTTCCACCTAGCCCCAGAGAGCCGTAAGAGGCCTTCGCACACCACTGTACCTGGTCGCGGCCATGTTGGAGAACACGGCACTACATTTCCCATGAGCCAGCGGTGCGCGAACAGCGCTCCCACAATCCCCCTCGCTCCCAAAGCCCCAGGGAGCGTTGACCCAGACGTCTTTGTTTGTCAGCCGCTGACCCTAACAGTGAAGATTTGGTTCTTTTTCGGATGAATAGTTGTGGTTGGACGTGCCGCTTATTTTTATGGGTCCCTTCCCAAAAGGACAAGGTCACACGGTCGTGTCCTTCTACTCCATCAATAATAGCCTCCCTCAGCTTGGGCTCTTTGTGCTACTTTAGTCCTGAATCTTATTAGAGGTTTGAGAGGATCTTGGGGTATGAAAGATGGCATCACGTGGGCGGGGGTGACATTGCATGAAAGCTCCAGGGGAATGGTGAGTACCCACAGAGTAGTAGAAACATGTGTTAAAGAAGTCAAGGTAGGAAAGGTGGGGTGTCCCTAAATTATTAGAAAACTTAACAATATTATATCCTGTTTGCCTAAGGGAGGAAAGCTTAGAGAAGTGGAATGGTATGACCAGATCTTGTGGAAAGTGAAAGAAGAGACTAGAATTAAGACAGTTGTTGCAGTGGTAAACAGAAATGTACCGGAATTTTAACTGAGACACAACAGCGGCAAAGGGAAAGAAAAAAATGTTTGGGCCTGAGCGGGGCCCACACCTGTAATCCCAGCGGCTCCAGAGGCTGAGGCAGGAGGATCCCCAGCCAACCTGGGGGGGTGGGGGTGGAGGTGGGGGAGTGGGCTGGGGTTGTGGCTCAGTGGTGGAGTACTTGCCTAGCACTTATGAGGCACTGGGTTTCATCTCAGCAACACATAAAAATAAATAAATAAGGGTATAGTATCCTTCTACAACTACAAAAATATTAAAAAAAAAAAAAGCCAACCTCAGTAACTTAGTGAGGTCCTAAGCAA